GGCCGAGAAGGGCTCAGGGGGCAGGGGTCCCGAGGGCTTGGAGCAGCCCGTGCCAGAAAGGTGGTGCCTGGAAGGGGAGGGGCTTTGAGGGAGGGCGGGGGCGGGGCAGCCCAGGGCACCTACTGTGCTGGTGTCTGCCGCCACCCCCTGCACTGGGCCCATCACTGCTCCCCAGAGGCTGGTGGGGACATGGGGCCACCAGGGAGGGGCCTGCGGGCTGGGACTGAGGAGAGGAGAGGAGTCCCTGGGCTCCGCCACCTGGGCTCACGCGGGCAGAGGAGCCACGGGCCTGGTGCTGGTTGGTGAGGAGGGCTGGGGCCTGAGCGGTGCCAGGTGGGTGGAAGGGATGGGCATGAGGGTGTCCGGAGGGGGAAGGGGACCCTGCCATGGGGTGGATGGGTGAGACTGGGTCGGCTCGGGGCAGCCCCGTGAGGGGGAGATGTTGCCCCCACTTTCACAGATGGGGACCCCAGGCCCAGAGCCCACTGAGTGGTCATTGCTCACAGCCAGGACCCACGGAGCTGGGCCTCCACCTGGGTTTTGCAGCCCCAGTGCCCACAGGCCCTGCATCACTGTGGCTGCCCCTGGGGACCTGCCCCCCTCAGGACCCATGGGGGTGGGGTGCCAGCTGAGGGCTGAGCCTGAGCCCTGTCCACCCAGCTGGGGCCTGGCGCTGCCTGTCCCCGTGGGACCCCCGCCCCCCAGGCCCGAGTCCGTCCTCCCTGGCACTCGGCCTCGGCACCCTCTGACCCTCACTGGCTGGGGTGACCCGGGCCTTGGCCGGAGCAGAGCGGCCCGAGCGAGGGGGCCTCACTCCCACATCCTGGTGGCCAGCCCACTTCTGGCCAGGTCGGGGAGGCGGGAGGCCGGGAGCCTCTCCCAGGCCCGGGGCCGCGGGGACATCTGGCCGTGCCCGTGCGAGGCCATGGCGCCCACTCACCGGCGCCCAGCAGGGCTCCCCCGCAGGACAGCAGCAGCAGCAGCCGAGGCCCCAGCATGGTGCGTGGAGAAGCGGTCACCGCGGGACCCGTCCCCTCCTGCCACTGACACCAGGCAGACTCGCTGCACCTGTGCACCCGAGTAGCGGCCTCGACGCCTTATATAGGGGCCCGGCCGTGGCCGAGCCGCCCGCGCCCCTCCCGGCCACGTGCAGCAGCGGACAAACAGGATCTCAGTGCTGCTTTATCAGGACCTGGGCTTCTTGGAAAGATCCTGGTGCGGCAACGGCCCCGTTATCGCCACTTCCGCGGGGCTGGCACCCTTCCTGCTGGCTCCAGGCGGGGATTGCCAAGGGCCAGTCTGAGGGTCGGTTCCAGGGCGGCCGTTCCGGGGTGACAGTTCCCGGGGTCAGCATGGACACCGTCGGCCGCAGCCCAGGAGCCCAGAGGGGCTTGTCCAGGGCATGTGGGGAGGGGGTGGGGGCAGGCACTCCTCTGCCCCTGCGGGGAGCGCAGCTCCTGGGGTGAGTTCCACTCTCACCTGGACCCCAGGACCCCCAAACGGCCCCGCGTGCTGGGCCATAGTCCCGACCTGGGAAAAAGACTTCCCGTGGAAGGACTGCCTTTGGGTCATCGGGGTCCTGGGTGCGAGGCCATCATGGGTGGGCGGTGGCCTTGGGCTCAGACAGGACAAGGCCTGGAGGCCCAAGGACAGGCTGTGCCTGGGACCCTCCTCTGCCTGCCTCCGGCCTCGGGTCCTGGGAGGGGCGGGGGGACAAGCTATATCCCAGGGCCCCGTTCCATTTCCTGCTCCCACAGCTCTGAGAAGAGGAGCAGGGGCAGGAGGCTTGGGGCTGCCCCCCAGGGGTGCATGTGGGTATGTGCCAGCCTTAGGGTGTAGCGCCCACAGCCCCAGCGGGGGAGGGCGGGGCTCCTGGGCCAGCATCTCAGGGAGCAGGGGCAGCAGGGCCGCTGGGCCTGGTCCATGTGCAGGACGTAGGCCAGGGCCATGAGGGGTCCTGGGTGAAGGTCATGGTCAGGGTGAGGTGAGGACCAGGGACATGGGTGTTTGGATACTTGGGAGTCCCTCGAAGTTGGGGAGCTCTCCAGGCAGCCTGGCCCTGAGTGGGACCCGAGGTTAGACTTGGGGTGCAGCTCAGGCTTCCTCTTTCCCGAGGGAGGTCTGGCCTCACGGAGACCTGGGTGCGGGAGCCCCAGCTCCTTCCACGGGGCCTACATCTGGGCCGCCGGCCAGCCTGGCCTCCTCACAAGGGGCCGAACTGTGAGTCACAGACCACTGCGTCCACGTGGCCGGGCTCCGGCTGCCCTCCCACCCGAGGCCCAGCCACACACACGGGAGCTGCCCCTGTTCATCTGGTTTAATAGAAAGTTGCTCTCCAGAAGCCCACTCGGCCAGCTGCTGGCCCTCAGGCACCGAGTCCGGATGCTGCCCGGTCCTTTCTCCTTAAGCCTTAAGCTTGAGTGGCCGGAGCTGTGCCCGGCGTGTGCCCCACCCAGCAGCCCAGAGCCTTCCCGGAGCTGGCGGAGGGGTCCTGGGGCCTCCTGGCTCCCTGCAGCGGGGGCGGGGCCAAAGGGGCCGTGGCCTGGGGTGCTGACCGGCTGTCCAAGCTCTGCGGAGGGATCACACAGGGCAAGGGGCCTTCCCTCAGCCTCAGCCTGTTCTCGGGGTCCTGGCGCCGGGAGGGCGGACCAGGGGACGGTGAGGGTGGAGCCGAGGGAGGGGCTGTGGTCCTGGGACATCCGTCACTGCAGGGGCTTGTGGCAGGCAGGGTCCCCTACGTTGGGGTCCCCAGTGTCACCCCAACAGCTTGAGGGACACAGATGTGACCCTGGTGGGGGTTTGGATATCACCTGGACCAATGAAGTTTGAGCATGTGTGTAGGTGTGTGTCGTGTGTGGCCTTTGCACCTGAGTTGTGTGTGCACGTGCTGTGTGTGAGCATGTGTGTCTGTGTTGTGTGTGTTGTGTGTCACCATGTGCATGTGACTGCTGTATGTGTGCCATGTATCCATGCATGCCTGTTGTGTGTGTAGGTGTGTGTGCTGTGTGTGCTGTGTGTATCTGTCAGTGCTGTAATGTGCCATGTGTGGGCATGTGCATCTACACATGCGCATGCATGAGTGTCTGCTGCGTGTAGGTATGTGTCATGTGTGAGCATGTGCATGTGTCACGTGTGTTTGTTGTGTGAGTGCATGTGTGTCTGCTGTATATGTGCTATGTGTGGGGGTATGTGCCTGTATGTCGTGCGTGTGGGCATGGGTATGTACACGTGTGCAAGCATGCATCTGTGGGCATGTGTGAGATGTGGTTGGAGTTTCCTGGAAACATTGGCTGTGTGTTCCAGGATCTGTGACCGCAGGCTCTGCGGCTTCGAGGGCAGGGGTTGGTGGGTGTTCAGCGGGGTGGGGGCTCCAGTGCTGCAGGGGGCGGGGGGCATCACGGGAAATCACGGAGAATGGCGTGTTTGTGGCTGACCTGGGAGCGCTCAAATGCGCTGAGCAAACAGCGGGGAGATAAGCGTGTGTGTGGCCATTGTTCCCGGCGGTCTCAGCGATAAGAGAGGTCCCGCTGGCCGCCGGCGAAGCGGAGCCCAGGCGGACAAGGGGCGATTGTGCGCCTCAGGCCCCAGCTCAGACCCCTGCCCTGCCCTCGTCAGTGTGGCTGGCCCTGAGCGGCACCGGGGGCCCGGGGGCAGGCTGGCTGAGTCAGGGAGCCCGGTGGGCACTGAGGCCTGGCCTGCCCGGCATGACCAGCCTCGGAGTCCAGGGTCCAGGGCCAGGGCCCCCGCACTGCCTCCTGCCTCCTGCTTCCTGGGAGGGGGAGTGCCCCCATCGCCGTGGCCCCGCATCCCCTTCCCTGGGTCTGAGGCTGTTGAAGACACTGGCGTTCGCCCCAGCAGGGCCTTCTGGGGGCCTGGCTCCCGGCACGGGCAGGGCTCCCCCAAGACCCCGGGTGCTGGTCTCTGGTTGTGGAGGTGCCAGAGCACCCACAGGGCCGCCCATCCTGGACCCCGCCTGTCAGGTGTGAGCTCTGGGGGAGGCGGGCCGCTGCTTCCCTGCCCAGGTGTGGCCGCACCAACCAGGGTCACAGCGAAGGGCTGAGCGCCGTGGCTTTCGGGGGAGTCAGGTTCAGGCTTCAACAGGAATGGCCTTGGTGCGGCCTGGCCTGGCTGCCGTCAGCTGCCCG